GGGGGGGGGCGATGGCGCCCCGAATGCCTGGGTTGAGGCTCTTTCGGCATCTTGCATTTCCCGATTTAAGCGCTTCCTCAGCTGTAGTTGCGGGCGGTGCTGTCCCGCACTATTTTTCGTGTTGTCGATAACATTGATGGTAAAGGTATTGATTAGCAGACGTGCAAAGTCTATTATTCTAATCACGCATGATTCTTCAGGCATAATTAGACTAATCTAGTCCGGACGTCTGCCGGAAAACTAGTGACACCTGCGAATCGAATACTTTGCTTCAGATAACTTTCAGCAGACGTGTATTCGACTCGTTACGTCAGAGTTTTTGTAAGGGCTATCTCATCATTTCCTAAATTCTTATGCAGTGGTGTGATGAATTAGTGGATTGCATTGTACTTTTCCTTAGGACGCAAATCATGGCCATGTTGCTTGGTATTCTTCTGACGTATGTATATGTATATTTTGACGTATAATCGGTGCTTGAAGTTATTTGTTTTTAACCGGCAGTGTATCGTTATTCATGGTTGAAACAATGCAATAACTTCTTCCATGCAACAACTTCGGTTAAATTAGTAAACAGTAACATGTTGTGAATTTGGTCCATTGGATTATTGCATTTTTTATAAGAATACCAAAGTAATATGCAGATTTGGTCGCTGACTTTGCGCGATGACCTCACACCGAATTTCTTCGATGCAACTAGTCGAGTAATGCCCAGTTTCTCGCAGACTAACGCACAGCAGCAATAGCACTATTTCTTTTATCTTATATCAGGAACGGCAGAATAGGATACATAAATATAGTTTCATGGCAGTGTCTCATACGGCTGTGATTCGTCATTATCGTTTTTATGACTGCTTGTTCAATCTCATTCAGTTTATGGTATTGCTATAAAATGCAACTTGTTGCTGTTGTTAATTAAGTTGTGTTACCTCGTACGAAATCGTTTTTTATTATTCGTTCTGCGTTTTTCACAGCGAAGGTCATTTTTCTTCTCCGGAACATTTCTGTTCCAATCAGTCTCACCTAAGCATGACATTAACTTTCGTATTTTTAGTATTTTATTCGGGAAATATGATTGTTTTAACCTTGATATATCCGTAGACTGTACTGCTTATTGTGGACATCGCAAGTGTTCAGGTTATTTTAAGGAACGTTTTGGGCATGTAGTTAGTTACATAGCCATCGCCCCTGTTCTTATCCTTTAAGACGAGTCGTGTCACTGTTTCTGTTATGCCAGAAGGCCGACTTTGCTTCTGTATACTTTACAGGAATACTCATATTGGTGATTGTACGCTAACCATTTAAGCCTTAACGTGCATCTCATCCGCGAATGACGCCGCTAGTTAATCATTTTTTGGCCGCCTTGCCGACTTGCTTGTCTTTGATGACAATTTCTTGTTTGAAAATTCTGTTTGCATTCTTTTGCATTAATTTTACCCGTTAGTTTCTTAATAGTTGGCGTTGTAATTGTTCTCCAGACTTGAAGAGATTTTTCTGCGTTAGAATCAATGGACTGCGCTTTATCCGCTTTTTTTGCGCTTTCCCTCCTGTTTTCTGTGGAAGGTGTGCCATTATGAATCAGGGTTCGAAGATGAATGAATAGACAGAAGTACAAAGAACGGTCTGCGATGTGATTGTCTGAGTGGGAATGATAAAGTAGCGATTGATTGGGTTCCAAAAGGAGGTGAGGACCTCACACGCTGGTGTCGAGATAGATTGTACGATGAACTGAAGAAATTTTGTGAATCAAAAAGGAGAAAAATTGCACAATACGGTTTATAGCAAAGTGTTAAAGTGGTCTTCATATAGTAGTGGGTCAAAAAGGCTGAGGATGACTGTAATCAATATTTTTACCTCTACTGAAAAGCGGAACTCGTTGGCAATGTTGTTAAAACAGTAGTTTCGCAGAAAATGTTGTTTTATATGGCAAGTTTATTAATTTTGCGCGTTGACTTAAAGGTTGAGGAGAATGTAATTCACATTTTTTCACTGGGATGAGCCATTCTTGAGGTCTGTCCTCCCTGAGCAGTATTGCATCCTTAAACTCAGTTTTTAACCATTGGTAATTTTCACTTTAATATGTTAAATAGCGTTAAAATATGTTTAATAAAAGAAACGTCCGCGTTTCATGGTTGTCTAATTCCTTCGTTTTAGAATTTAATTCCTCAAACATATCTACCCGAAGATACATTTTTTGAAGAATTACACCTGTAGAACTAAATGAAATGGCAAACACTCGAATAGTCGTCTTGATTGATATGGACTGCTTTTACGTGCAGGTGGAGCAACGTGAAAACCCTGATTTGTACGGAAAACCAACCGCAGTAGTGCAATATAATCAGTGGAAGAAAGGAGGGTGAGTGACGACAACATTGCCATTTTAACATTGCTCTTGTTGACAGTGGCTATGTTTGCGAAACATGAGTGTTCAGACGTTAGCATGAATATATCAGTTTGCTCTCTGTGTAACTTGTGACAATAAATGTGATGAGTTTGTGAGGAATTGTTTCTTAACATACATGTTGTTACAAAAATCAGATATTTAGAAGCTATGAAAATGTTTACATTTTTAGAAGTTTTTGTTGCGCAAACAATTCAGATTTGAAAGTTCTGTTGAATGGAACAAACCCCGTAATAACAAACCCCTTGTAATTTGTGGTAAAATAAATATTATGGAGTACAGATTTTAGCGTCGTGTTGCTTTTTAATATCGTGATGCAATGTACGAGCCCTTGCCTGTATCCTATATTTGAAACAGTTCATTAAATGCATAAAAATGAATATTTAATTGCTTCTTTTAGTGTGGCATCGTTTTCCAGAGGCTGCGCTCACATGACTCATGACTGGTTTTTGAACTGGTGTTGACCACAGGACTGTACTTTCCGAGTAGTAACGTTGGCCAGAAGCGATTAGTAACTTCAGTATGGACCCTTCATGGTCAATTTTAATTCATTTACACTTACCTGTGGCACTCAGTGGCATTCGACAAACTACTTAGGTTATTTTAATAGACGTATGAAATAGCTATTGACTCACATACCCACTGCGGTAGTATTTTTACGACGCGCACGTAAAAATAAGCTACCTTCTAGATTTAGTCACAAACAGAAATGCGAGTATAAAATGACAGTTAGGACAATTTCAGAAAACAAGTGCCTTGTATGCCTATTTCTCGCCTGTTCTGGGTGACGTTTAGGGCTAGGTTAGGTACATTCCTGATTCTCATAGGTAATAAGTTCATATGAGATTATTAGGCCTTAACGAAAGAAATTTTATGACTACTCTCACGAAAGAAAGTCTGCCCTAAGGTTTGGCAGAGTTAAATGTACTTTGTCCGAGAACAAGACCTCAGATTTTTTCTCACCGCCAAAGAAAACCGTGGAAATACGTATGGATGGTAAGGACCTGGATTTATTTCATAAGGGTGGGAACCAGAACGATCCTAAAATTTGGAGACCCTTATTCATAGTGAGCATTCCGTTTCGATTATACTGTGGAGTTGTAACCAGTGGGCTTAGGAAGTGCTTGGAATATAGTAAGGATATACTGAAACAGATTCACAGATTGGAGGTTGTACCTAACCAAGTAGAAATAAGAATTTGACATTGGCATGGTTTGACACCATGTCATACACTCTTCCAAACCCCAGAATAGATTTAGATGCCTGATCCTAATCTAAGAAATTCATGGATATCTAAATTTGATTATGGTAAGAGCTAGTACTTGCATCATAAAACGCATACCCGTCCTGGTAGGCGTTAAGGAAGCAGATCTGCAGTGCCTCTACTTTTCCCTATTTCTATTATTTCATGCGTTATTTGCTCTGGCAAGGAAACCGTCAGCCTGTATTTATTACTCTCCTGACTACGCAAGGTAGCAAACAGTCTTTACTTGAATTTCATTTACTCATGATGTAAAGTTTTCTTACATCTCCAACTTAAACGGATTTTACATAGTCTCAGAAGCAACCATCGCTGCCTGCTGTGTACCTTCGTACCAAAGTATGTATTCACCATACTAAGCATACAGTCTACTGCTACATAGCACATTGTTGCATGCACAGCATGTGTTTAAAATCCTTGAATGGCAAAAATTGAACAGATCTGTTGTTTTATCACCGTCATTTCAAAGTAGCATAGCTTAAACATTTTATTAACAGATATTTATGATGTATGGCTTTTAGGAATATTCGTTGAGATTGATATTAAGAAATCTTTTCACGACAAAATCTTGGTCATAGTGATTTTAATGATTTGCCTCGTGCCAACGCAAATAGGTGGGAATATATGCAGCTGCATGTCTCATATTGTCAGTCTTATTGTTGGGGCAGACTAGCACATCGTGTGCTCTTTGTTCTCATGAAAGGTGTCGACAGTCATTGTGGAGGAGCAGAAGGGCCACTCTCACAGTACCAGCCCGGCTCATTTTGTTTTAACCTCTCACCCTGAAAGAGAAGCCACCATCTGCTGGAATTTCACGCCTGTAACGGAGTATTTAAATGGACACTCGTAGGCAATATAGGTTACTTGATTTAGGAAGTGTATTTCTTGTGCGCATGTGATGCGTTTGCCACAGCAACATCCGGTATTTAAAATATGTATTAACCTACCTCTGATGTTCACCGTTTCGTAGAGATCTTCACGCTATGGTTATTTGGTTCGTTTCTAGCAGACAAATCTGCGGACTGATAGTCTGACCCAGGCAAGTTAGCTTACTGCCATTTTCATGAAATATATATGGTGTTGATGAGTCTGCTGATAAACTTTCGGTTCAATTCAAAGTTGTTGATTTACTTCCCATGATCCGGTATTGAATACTACATGTATCTGAGGAAGTACATCTGTTCAGCGTAGCGCTTTCTATCCCTCGACACATGGACCACCTCAACATTCATGTCATTCCTGTTTATATAAATTGCGAATATCTTAGATAGATGTGCTTTTGCTGCCGTTGTTCGAACTGTTGAATACCCACCTTGGTCATTGAAAACATTTTCGTCCAATTACGATGAAAAAGCTATCTTTGTGAACAAACATTATGAGTATGCATCTATGTTAGTTTTAGTACTAGATGTACCTATTTATATATTTTAGCATACAATTTCCATGCCAAGTTGTGATCATGCGAAATCTGACTGGTGTGAGTTTGCGCATTCTGTTTGCTTTTATCTAGCCGTTTTTTATTAAGGTTTGTTTTTAGAATTAGTACATAATTTAAAATTAAGTTTTAACTTAGTTCAAGTTATTTGAAGATTTGTTTTTGGAAACTCCAGCTATGAAGTTTGACGAATATTAATAATGATTATTAATAATTCATATGAGTTTTATTGTTATTAGGTCGGACTAGTAAATTGGCTTGAAATTCACTAGCATCAAACAGAAGATAAAGTTTATATCGTTAATTTTAAATGTCACTGTGACGTAACGAAGAGAACGTTTTTAAGAATAATCGCGTTGAGCTACGAAGCTCGAGCGAATGGAGTAAAACGATTCATGCGAGGGAGCGATGCAGAGGAGGTTTGTCCAAGCATTTGTCTTGTACAAGTGCCTATGAAGCGCGGCAAGGCAGACTTGTCAAAGTACCGATTGGCCAGTGACGAAGTGTTTCACGTGTTGTCCGGTTTCGACGGTGTAGTGTTGGAGCGGGCGAGCATCGATGAGGCGTTTCTGGACGTGACCGAAGCGGTAGAACTGGCCGAGGCGCAGCCTATCGATCACTTGTTGACGGTTGACGACCTCCGCAACACGAGGATGGCGGTGGATGACGATCGAAAGAACATTGTTGACTACTTGACGTATGTCCAGAACACAGATTGCGACATCAGTGACGACCAGCGAATAATACGGAAGCTACTGCTAGCCGCTCGGTTAGCTGAAAACATGCGCAAACGCATTTTCGAACAGACCAAGTTTCGCTGTTCTGCGGGTGTTGCGATTAACAAGGTAATTGGCTGTATGTTTTTATTCTTCTTTTCTGATCACATGAAGTAATTATATTGGCATTAGAAAGTATTTCTGTCATTTATCTATTTCTCAATTTCTCATTCTCTCATAAGGAATTTTCTTCTGTTCCTAAAATATAGTAATATACTAGCTATAAGTATAGTTCCTAATTTTTTGTAATGTATCCTCGTCTCATTCCATTGCTTATTTTGTATGGTAGAGTGGCAGATAGTTGAGCAAGTTCATATGTAAATAAATGAAAAATTTCAATGATAAACAGTGTAGTATTCAGGTAGCCTAGAAAAATTCTGTTCATTTTTCGGCTTTTATATGTGATGTTTAGATGTTGGCGAAATTGGTCTGCAGTGTTAACAAGCCGAACGGACAGACGGTTATTTTTCCGCAGCAGGTTCCCAAGCTGTTTGACAAAACATCTATCTCCGACATGTAAGTGAATAGTTTTAAACTATCGTCATCGTTTACCACCATTTGATTTTAAAGACGAAGTCTTGGTGGAAAGTTGGGAAGGTCTGTCGTAAATGTTTTGAACATCGAAACCGTTGGACAGCTGGCTGCGGTTCCACTGGGCGTTCTTGTTCTCCATTTTGGACAAAAAACCGCGTAATTGATATTTCTGGCTGTTTTTTGATCCTTCTATTTGATTTAACCCCATTTAGAAACTGGCTAAAAGATATCAGTCAGGGTGTCGATGTTGAAGCAGTGACGCCAAGGCAGATAGTGAAATCGATTGCCAGTGCGAAAAACTTTACAGGAAAAGCAGCTCTCTCTGCTAAGTCAGAGGTGAAGTTTTGGATCGAACAGCTCGCTGAATGCCTGCTTGAACGGCTTCTTGAAGACAGAAGTAGTGTAAGTGTGAATGAAAAGTATAAAATGAGTTTGTTACATATGAAAATCCTCACAGTTTCATATCCTAGCCATGATATAACCAGACTTTTGATGCAGTCAATGGACAAGAGGCCACGTTCGTCCGGATACCCTCCGTTTGCCTTAGACGGACATTCGTTTGCCTTCCATCCTCACCAAATGTGGTTGCATATTAAAGCTTTGTGAGAATTTGTGCGATTGCATATCCCTCGAACGGATATGGCAGAGCCACCAATTCTCAGAGGGTTTCTCCTCCGCACGACTCAGAAGTCCCTCATCTGATGTACTGTGGTGATAATGTGCTTTGGATGATTCTAGGCTGAGAAATTTCCTAAATGGATTGTTATCACCATGAGGTACAAAAACAAATTTCCATTTTTCAATGGTATCTTCAGAGGTATTTTATTTGTGGAACTTATACACTATCAATCTCCGTCGCACAGCAGTCAGCAACATACTCTGTGTAAGCTTGATGGCATTTTTCACACCTTGACGCCACAGTATCGCATTCTGCTTTCTATCAGTAAAATGCAAAGGCACTCTGATTACATCGACGGAATTTACCATTTATAGATCTTCACAACGGCAAATGCCACCAGTATTAGCTACCTATATGATTGTCCATTTTCAGTTCACGCTTATGTTTCATACCGTTCTTTATCATCAACGCATTTCTGTTTGGTAACCAGTCTGTTCAACTCAAACAACGGTCAACGGTCAGTTATTTAGTCATTTATTGACAAGGCTGTCCTCATTATAAATATTGACATTACAGAATTATTGAAAATTCTTCATTTTATCGTTTCGTCACATTGATCCTGTTATTCGTGCGCAAATATTCAACCCGTAAATCATGGCCTCATGATTCGCCAGTTTTGAGGTCATGGCCTGAGTTTTAATGTATGATAGCAGCCAAAGAGAAGAGTTTTACGGAATTTGCTCTTTATACTCCACGCGCTTCTCAATCTTCTGACAAGATTTCAAGTTTAGATTAATTAAACTGTCACATTATGTAATTTACTGATCTGGTGTATTACTTGGTCAAATCTACGTGAAACTGATTCCCAGCCTCTGTTGTTAAATCCTGGTTATTTCCTTCTACCTTTCTCCTTACTTATAGCGGAATGCTGCGTAATACGTATTACGGCCATGAGCTGGTTGGGGTTCTACCGTATGATATTATGGGCGTTTAGCATTGAAGAGGGATAAGAAACCATCTAACTTGTCTCTTCTCCTCTCCTTTCTTTTCTGCTCTTGTCGGTTCCACTCGTCTCCTTTCGGTTCCTTTCACTTGTTTTCGTTCCATTCGCTTACCTTCTGCCCCTTTCCTTCCCCTTGACTCTTTCTTTTCTGTTTGGTTCCTTTCGCTTCCTTTCCGTTCCGCTCCTCTCTTTTCACTTCGTTTCTGTTGTTTCGATTCCTTTCAGTTGTTTTCCGTTCGCTTCCTTTCGCCTCCCTTCCGCTCCGGTCCATTGCGCTCAACTCCTTTCCCTTCCGTTTCGCTTCTTTCAGTTCTTCTCCATTCCTTTCCCCTCCTTTCCGTTCCGCATAAATTCCTCTGCGTTAGGTTCTTTTCTCCTCCTTTCCGCTCTTCTCTTCTTCACCCTCCTTTCCGCTCGCTCCTCTCCTTTCGATTCCTTTCAGTTGTTTTCTGTTCCATCCGCCTACCTTCTGTCCCTTCTGTTCCCTTCGACTCCTTTCCGTTCGGTTCCTTTCGCTTCCTCTCCGTTCCGCTCCTTTTCTGTTCTGCTCGTTGCCATTTCCGCATAAAAGCAGCCGACTGTCGTATAGTTCGTGATATGCACGGTAGGAAAAACACCATTGGTACGATGCATTTAGTTAAGCCGTCCATAGTGTTCTTATAGGCATAACACTGACCACATGCCGTGCTAGCCAAGTATTTCAGGCGACCCAGATAATAATGTCGGCTAAAAGCATTGCTTATGAGAACAGAAACCAAGCATGTTACTTGCGTAAATACACACCTCGAAGCCGCAAATCTCCCGTTACAGGCATGTTCCATTATGCCGAACAGCTGGATAGCGTTGTACCGTATAACAGAAGAGGCGACTGGCTTAGAAAAGCGAAAGAATAACCACGTACACTGCCGCATGATTCAGAAAATGACATGTTCCGCTAAATGATGGTAGGCCGCCAGCTTTCCTTTGTCCGAAAAGCTCGACA